CCTAATCAGGTCTTGCTCTGTCAGTACTCAATGTGGCATTAAAGCTTTCCACAAAGTTGCTTTTGTTTACATCACATTTGATAGCCTCATTGAATTTGTGCTTGGTTCATGTTGATTGTGGCCCAACTTTAGACAACCATATCAAAGCAACTGGATTGACCTTCTGCAGCTGTTCCATGGCTTTTTTTGAATGTGAACTCAGAATATGCCCCAGAAGCCATCCAGAACAGGCTAAACATCAAAGGGCCAGGGAATGGTTTCTTCCAATTCTTTACCAGGTGCTTTCAGCAATATCTCCTTCCAGCCTTTGGCCACAACTCAGTTAATGCAGCATCAATACCTTAAAAAAACAAAAGATAGATGTAAGACAAACACATGCTCAAGGAAGATAACAAATAAAATTGAGGCTAAGTTTTATACCTTCTATTTGTCGGAGATAATGCACCACTCATCCGCTCTCCCACTGTCTTTGAGCTAGTTCTTCAAATGCCACACAAAGAACTTCCAATTCTCTGTGTCCTCAATTAATACAATTGCCCAAGCAAAGGGGAATAGCTCATTGTTTGAATCTAGTGCCACTGCAGATAACAGGACACCACCATAATTCCCCTTTAGGTGAGCCCCATCAACACCTATAAGGCTCCTACAGCCAGCTAAAAACCCATCTATACATCCTTTGAATGATATAAAGATGTTTAGGAACTTTAAAGGCCTGTCAATATGATCTTGAGGTGTCCAAGCACAAAATGCAGAAGAACCTGGGCTTGTTGATCTCACCATTTCACAGTAGTCAGGAAGCTGGGCATATGAGATGTCATGACCCCCACTAATATCCCTCAGAGCCTTTGACCTCATCCTGTATAGAGTACTTGCAGACATTTATACTCCATATCTTTGCCACAGTAACTGATTCAATGTCTTGGCAGAGATATCATTGTTGGCTCTTATATCCTCCATCAACACTCTTGTTGCCCAATTGGTAGACACCATTGGATTCTTCACCTCTAACCAGAACAAGTGTGCTCCATGTTAGAATGGACTTGATTGCCCATGTGACACCATCAGGAAGCCTAGATGCATGCAGCCTCCACTCACAGTTAATGTCAGAACATGTAATTATCCACCTCATATTAGATGCCTTGAGAACAACTACAGAAAACCCACTTTGTATGCAGTAATCCCTCACAACATCTCTTAAATGCTGTTTATATGTAAATAATTGCCATGGTTTGATGACAATTTTGCCAAACTCCTCCTCATTGTACAACTCTCCATTTTTGTACAAGTTTGCAAAGTAATCTTCAGCTTCATTGTCATTCTCCCACACAGGGCCTTCCCAAGGATCAAAGTTGTCATCAACTGGCCCTACATCATCAAAACTGTCCTTATCATCTTCATCTTCATTTTCCTAATCTACATTATGATCTTCCTGATCATCTCCTTCTTCAGAATCAAATTCACCTCCATCCCCTTCATCCCCTTCATCACTCAGATCAACTCCATCTCCACCCAAACTCACAGTAAGTTGGTTTGATGGCTCAGTTGCTTCATCAAAACTTGTTCTGGTAATCAATCCCCTCCTCTTAGCTGTAGTCTTTGGAATTCTCTTACCAAATGTGGTAGATGTCTTGGAAGATTTAGAAGATGTCACTATCTCCCCAGAGGGCACTATCTCCCTAGAGGACCCTGCAGCTTGCTTTGTGATAACATTCATCTCAGTTATAGGTGGTGCAATCACATCCATCCTAGCTTCTGTCTGAGTTTGGAACCTTTTTCTTGGACTTCTTCTGAGTACCTGCACTGGTTTGGCTTGTTCTATATGTGGTAACCCTAATTCTTTCCTCATCTCTTCTTCTCTCTTATCATACCTTTCCCTAGCCAACCTTTCAGCCTCAATCTCTACTACATTCTCTAGTTGCTTCCTATACCATGCCTTCAAGTCTCTTCCAAGTCCAAGATGTCATATCCTACCTCCTGTCAGCCTGACAGGTGCTTCTTCCCCCATACCTCTCCTTCTAGGTCTCCCCCTCCCTCTTCCTCTCCCCCTACTCATGTATTCTTTTCTTCTTCTTAAGTATCATCTCTAGGTACTGCATTATATATTTCTACTATAGGGTTTTCAACAGGTTCACCATCACTTTCATCATCAGCTTCATTATCTCCCTCATTAACATGTTCACCACCACTTTCATCATCAGCTTCATTATCTCCTTCATTAACAGGTTCAGGAATAGGGTCTGGAACTGAGTCTGCAGGTTCTCTTACATTGGATGAAGTGTTTCTCCTAGGGGTTAGTTTCTTAGGTCTCTCAACATCTATCACGGGTTGACTTGAACTACCCTCTAGATTCCTTAGACTTCTCCTAGGGATTCCCTTTTCAGGATCACATTCTGTTGTACCCAACTGTCCCACACTTTGTTTCAAATCAACAGCTATTCTACTTGCCCTCAAAGTCCTAGCAGCCTTCAGTAACTCATTTGGTGAATTAGCCACACCCACCCATATATATATAAGGTCTCGTCCATTTAAGTTAGCAAACATTTTCATCAAGTCTTGATCAGTAATCAAGTCCACATGTTTCATTTTGTGAACAGAAGCAAAACTAGCATTTTTTGGAATTGGTTTTTTTTACTCTCAACAGCCTTATCCCAATACTCTATCACTAGGTCAACTAAGTTGACTGTGTCAATATCCTCAACTACCACATCAACCTTAACACCCTTATACTGAAACCTCAACACCACCACATCACTCATTCTAACACCATACCATATTCCAAGCACAAACACAGACAAGCAAGTCCATAACACAAAATCAGTAAACAAGACAACATACGTTTTCAATTTAGGGCATAATACTTGAACACAACCACATTAAACATGCAACAAACGATTATGCCAAAACAGAGTACATAAAATGCACAACTCAAACGTTATTTAAAAATTAGGGTTTTTTATGAATACCTGAACTTCTTTTTGGCAAGAAGATGCAGAAAGATTTGATCTTTCACTAGGTACCCCCAATCCTTAGCCCAAACTTCAATACCCTACTCGCAATTGTTGAAATAACAAAGCTTTGAATCCCGCCTTGGGTGGAGATTAGATGGAGGTGGATATCCAAGTGGGGGTGGGGCGGGGATGATTTTGAAATTGTACTCGATGGGGCGGGGATGAGGATGAATTTTGGACCCGCCGCGGGGATGGAGATGGGGATGAAAATTTTAGGTGAGGATGGGGATGGGAAAACCAAAATCCACCCCAACTCGCCCCGCCCCATTGACATCCTTAAATGTAGCTATAATTTTCTCAAATAAGGTGGATCGAGGTAGAATGCGATTGCCATATCGAATTGAGCATTGGTGTTTAGAGACAAGAGATGTGTTGGAGATAGTTCGGACACATAGTCATTATTTTTATGTTGGTTTTCCCTTATCTACTTTATCACGTAAACTTGCAGCTATTCAATATCAGATTAAGGATTGGTGTCTGTCTAATAGGAAAAGTTGGGGTATTAACTGGATGGCTGTATGTTCTAAGATCTCTTCTCGTTCGACTCAGTTACAGTCTCCTTTTGACCTCCACCTGTTTTTGACTACTCGTGACGAGAAGGTGGCTGAGGCAAAGGCAGCCTTCCTCTATTAGCGCCAGTATGCAAAAATAAAGTGGGATACTTGTGGGGAGTCTCATACTAGATTACTGTTTTCAATAGTGCAGGCTTGATGACGACGTAATTTGATTGTTGGCCTGAAAGATGAGTCTGGTGTTCGGGTTTCAGAGAGCTCGCAAATCCGCTCTATGATTTTACGCTTTTATTCTGGCCTTTATACTCTTTTGTTGGCTCCTTTAGATCTACCTTCTTTTGACTTAGATACTCTGAATTTACCAGTTCTTTCGGTTGCCCAACAGTCTTCCTTATTGGTTCCCTTTTCTTCTTAGGAAATCCAATCGAAAATGTTTAGTATTGCGGATGATTAGTCTGGATGGGTTCACTTCGACATTCTTCAAAACGCACTGGGACAAGGTGGGTTATTATGTTTTGTCGGCAGTTCAATATTTCTTTTCTCATGGGTATATGTTCAAAGACTGGAATAAAACTTTCATGGTTCTTCTACCTAAGGTTGAACAACCGAATTCTATCTCCCAGTTCTGTCCAATTGGCTTGTGTAATGTCCTTTACAAGTGTATTGCCAAATGCATCATCGCCAGGTTTCGTCGGGTTCTTCCTTCACTCATTTCAGATTTCCAGAATGCTTTTGTACCGGGTAGGTTGTTGTCAGATAATGCATTGGTTTCCCACGAGATCCTTGCCTTTATGAATGCCTCTAAAGCTCGGAAAAGATTTTATGCCGCTCTTAAGTTATATATGAATAAGGCGTATATTCGGGTAAGCTTGGATATCTTGAATCGGGTGTTGGTTGGTTTTAGCTTCCCTGCTTACTGGGTTCATATCATTTAGCAGTATGTTACTACCGTTTCTTACCAAGTCTTGCTTAATGGCTCGCTTACTCTTTCTTTCTGTCCTAAGTGCGTACTTCGGCAAGGAGACCCACTCTCTCCATATCTTTTTGTTCTTTTTATGGAGGTTCTTTCTGCTATGCTGTGGAGGGCAAAAGATTGTGCTTGTTTTTCAGGCATTCGCATTTCTAGGGGAGGTCCCTCTATCTGACAACTCTTTTTTGCGGATGATTTTGTATTGTTTTTCCAGGTTACCCCGTAGGCGTGTGAGAATGCTCTAGATCTTCTAAACACCTTCTGTGCAGCTTCTGGCTCATTGATTAGTCTGCACAAGTCCTACATAAAGTTCAGCCCGAATACCCCTCCGGATTATTGAGATTTTTTGGCCAGTTTCTTACGTTTACACAGCACTTCTACCTTTGGTAGTTATTTGGGTCTTCCGGTGGACTTGGGGAGGAGTAAAGTTTCGGATTTCTAGTTCTTAGTTTATAAGGTGTCTAATTGCTTGGCTTCTTTTGCTTCACTTCGCTTTTGGCGACAGCTAAGATGGTTATCATTAACTCAGTTTTGGTGGCCTCCTTTAATCATATCCTTTCTGTTTTTAAAGTGCCTTCTACTATTTGTGCCCACATTGATCATCTACTGATGCGCTTTTGGTGGCGTTCGTTGCCTTCAACGATAGGAGTTACTTTGGCTCCGACAGCTTCTCCACATTTACTTAAGGGTCTGGGAGGTTTAGGTCTTCGCCTGCTAGGGTGTTTTAATAAGGCTCTCTTGGGTCGTCAGGGTTGGAGGATGTTTCATAATCCTAAGCTATTGGTGTTAAAGCTTCTCTTCTCTAAGTATCCTTCTTTGCTCGCTCGTCCAGAGGAGAGGATTCTTCATCCATCTTGGAGTTGTCGTGGTTTACAAGAGGGTTTGTCGGTTGTAGCCACAAGAAGTTCTTGGAAGGTTAGTGATGGGTCTCGGGTTCATATTCTAGTGGATAAATGGGTCCTGGGGGGGTCGGTTTCTTTTAGGAGTGATTTACTAGGGTCGAATTTACCGACTCATGTTTCTTATATTACTGATCCGCAGTCAAACACGTGGGATGTGTCGTTGGTCCATCGGTTATTCAATGCTTTGACGGTAACTTGGATTCTGATCTTGGAGCGTCCTTGGTGGTCAATGAATGATTTTGTTTACTGGAAGTATACTAGGGATGGTTCCTTCACTACAAAATCTGCTTATGCACTTTTACTTGGCCGACAATTTAGTAGGTTTTTTGGGGGTCGTCCTAGTCCTGAATAGTGGATGCTTTTATGAGGATTGCCCCTTCTTCCCCGGTGGAAAGTGTTTGCTTGGAAATTACTTCATCATGCACTGCCACTTGTTGCTAGGCTTGCTCGTATCGGTATGCCTGTTGATCCTATTTGTAGCTTCTATCATCAGGACAATGAAATGGCAGAGCACTTGTTTCGGGACTGTTCCTTCTCTAGTCATCTATGGGTTTGTGGTCCCTTGGGTTTCCAGCGGTGGCGTCTTCATGATAAACCGTTTCTTTTATGATTTTTAGATACAATTTCTTTATTTGGAAGCCTGAAGGATTGGGATGGTTTGTTTTCCTTCTTCTCTATGTTATGGGCGATTTGGATCGTAATAATGGCCGATTTCGATAGACGGCTTCTCAATGGAAATCTAGAGCTCAAACAGCGCAAGACTTTTTTAGTAGTGTTTCGTCTTGTCGTTTTAGTCGAGTGATGGTCTCTCAGCCGGAGTTTTTGTTGGGGATAATACTAAAAGTACATGGGACACAAAGAAGAAATGGAATTAAACAATAGTAACCTTCGAGGAGGCGTGAACAGAATCATTTTCCCAAAAGTAATATTTCGACCCTTAAACTACAACCCGGGTATCACGAAATCACTTAGGAGATACAACGGAGAACAATCACAATTATGTATAGTATAATTATGATTCAATGTAAACTAGTATATTTATTTTGTGATGATGAACAATGACAAACACATGCAAACGGAGAACTACAACCCTTACGTTGAATATATATATGCAACATGCAAAAAAGTGAATAGCCATAATTCCAAAAGGTGTATTCCAAACGGTGCCATATAACCATTATTCCAAAAGGTGTATTCCAAACGGTGCCATATAACCATTATTCCGATAGGTGTATTCCAAACGGTGCCATATAACCATTATTCCAAAAGGTGTAAATACAACAATTTATTTCATCAAGCAATGCAATACTCTAAATAACTCAACAATCCTCCCCCATTTAGAGTATTAAACTAGACTCAATGCAATACATCATCATCACAAAAACAATCTTATGCATACATGAAAGTGTACAAAGACTTGAACTTCCACTTAGTATAATACACATTCCAAGAATCAGTATCCAATTGGTATCGTTAAACGTTTAAACCAATATCAATACATATTAGAAACTTGAAGATATTATACACATAAGATCTTATAACCTGAATACATTATATACTTGACACGTTAAGGCCATGTGTCCATATCTATTCATAAGTACATCAAAGTTATGCCCTAATAACTTCTTGAAGCGGCCAAACCTTGTACTTATATAGGTAGATCTTTTATAAACATGTTCCTGTGACAAAGCACAATGTCAAAAAATCTATTAAGAAAAACAACCTCTTTTCATCACAGTAAAACTAGAACTTACCTAGGATGAATAAAAGTTCCCAATCACTCAATAAAGAAATTAATCTTATTGAACTTTAGACCCAACATCTTATTGGGCGTTAAGTTAAGATTTCCTTATTTGTAATTATTTAGGGCTCCAATCCTAAACCGATTGTCATCCTTTTATTAACATCTCTTGCTAATTCTTTTGTGAAGCCTTCGTATGAACATAGTCAATAGTAATTATACTATCCTTGATAAGTCCTTGAATGTAACTATGCCTTACACCAATGTGCCTTGACTTACCATTATATACTTGACTATATGCCTTAGCCAAGGTTGCATTATTATCACAATGTATCATTATAAGTGATATTGGTTTTGCCAACAAAGGTATCTCAAACATGAGATCCTTCAACCATTCAGCTTCTTTACCAGCTGAATGCAAAGCAATGAACTCCGATGTCATTGTGGAGTCCGCAATGCAAGTTTGCTTCTTTGATGCCCATGAGATAGCACCTCCCCCATATAGGAAAACCCAACCACTTGTGGAGGAATGATCTTTATTAGAGATCTAACTTGCATCCGAATATCCTTCGATAACCGAGGGATATCCACTATAAGACAAACCATAATCCATGGTTTTCTTCAAGTATTTCAACAAACGTCGAACTCCTTGCTAATGTAGCATACTAGGATTACTAGTATATGTACTTAGTTGACCAACTACATAAGCAATATCCGGTCTAGTACTTGTCATGGCATACATCAAACAACCTATTACTCTTGCGTACTCTAGTTGTGAAATTGAATTACCTTCATTAGGTAATAATTTTACGCTAGGATCCATAGGCGTTGAATAAAGAGAAAGAGAATTTTCACTTACATTGAACTTCTTGATCACTTTCTCAATCTAATGAGATTGTGACAAGATCAACTTCCCTTTTTCCTTCTTTATTCTTATGCCCAAGATGACATCCGTCTCTCCCATGTCTTTCATGGAAAACTTTGAACTAAGGAATTCCTTTGTCATTTCAACTTGTGACATACTTGTTCCAAAGATCAACATGTCATCTACATATAGACAAATTAAGACACCTTCACTGTTGTCATTAAATTTACTATATATACACTTGTCTGAATTATTCAACTTGAATCCATTAGACAACAAAACCTCATCAAAATTTTGATGCCATTGCTTAGGTGCATGCTTAAGCCCATACAAAGATTTAATCAACTCGCAAACTTTTCGCTCTTGGCCTTTCACAACAAACCCTTCCGGTTGTTGCATGTAAACTTCTTTTTCTAGATCTCCATTCAAGAACGCTGTCTTGACATCCATTTGATGGATCAAAATATTATGGATAGCCGCAAGAGCTATCAACAACCTTATAGTTGAGATTCTAGCAACGGGTGCATATGTATCGAAATAATCAATACCAGGCTTTTGTGTAAAACCTTGTGCCACTAACCGGGTTTTGAATTTTTCAACAGTTCCATCAATCCTCAATTTCTTTTTGAAGATCCATTTGCACCATATTGGTTTACATTTAGGAGGTAAATCAGCTAATACCCAAGTATTGTTTCCCATGATGGAATCTATCTCATCATTAATTGCTTCCTTGCAAAATGGAGCATCATGAGACTTCATAGTCTCATCAAATGTTGAAGGATCATCTTCCACATTAAAAATATAAGGAAATTGAGTCAAAACATTGTTTCTTGATCCCTCAATCAAGTACACATGAAAATCTGGGCCAAAAGATTTCTCTTTCCTAGCCTTCTTACTTCTCCTAAGTGAAGATGATGATGAAGATGCCTCCTCTAAATGAGCTTGGTCATCTTCCTCTTGATCAAATATAATTTGATCATCACCTTGAGCATTGGTATTTGCAGTAATATCCTTAGGTCTAGGAATTGATGAATATCTATTTTCATCAAACAATGCATCCCTTGACTCTATGGTGGTATGAACCGACCAAAAGTCATTTTGTTCTATCACATAAAACCTATAGGATTTTCTATGTTCCGCATATCCTATAAAAATGCATTCAACTCCTCTATCACCTAACTTTTTACGTTTAGGTTCCGACACTTTTACAATTGCCCTACAACCCCAAACTTTGAGATGACTCAAGTTTGGTTTCCTTTTGTACCATATCTCATATTGGGTAACCTCGTTCCTTTTCATAGGAACTCGGTTTAAAATGTAACAAGCTGTTAAAACTGCTTCTCCCCAAAATCCATCACTCAAACCCAAATAGGATAACATGGAATCAACCATTTCTTGTAAAGTCCTATTCTTCCTTTCCACTACACCATTTTGTTGTGGTGTATATGCCACAGTTGTTTCATCTAATAATCCTATTGATTGGAAATAACTTGGATTATAGTATTCACCTCCTTATCGGTTCTTAACTTTTTAATCTTTTTATTTGTTTGCAACTCTACTTCATTTTTGTAGATTTTAAATTTGTCAAGGGCTTCATCATTAGAAAACAATAAGTATACATAGCAAAATCTTGAAAAATCATCAATGAAAGTTACTAAATAATTCTTATTGCCTAAGGAAGGAGTGTTATGAAAGTCACATAAATCACTATGCACTAAATCAAGCAATGAAGTATCCTTTTCTACATTGTTAGGAAATGGTTTCCTTGTAATTTTTGTTAGCATGCATGTTCTACACTTCTCTATCCTTGGATCAAATGATGGAATTAATTCATGCTTAGACATAAAGTAAAGCTTCTTGTAATTAACATGTCCAAGTCTAAAATGCCATAGTGAAGAGTTATTACTTACAACATACACATTATCCCTAACATTATTACAAATACTTAATTTAAACATTCCATCATACAAATAACCAAGTCCTACAAATATACCACCTTTAGACAAAATAAATTTATCCGACTCAAACACCATTTTAAATCCTAATCGATTCAAGATAGCACCGGATACAAGATTTCCCCTAAGCTCGGGAGCATACAACACATCTCTTAAAATAAGAGATATGCCCAAACTAAAAATTAGTTCTGCTTGTCCTTTGCCTAGCACCCTTGTTGTGGAATCATTTCCCATGTATAGGATTTTTCCATAATCAACCTCCAAAAAGGTCTTGAACAGTGAACGATCCTTGCATACATGCCTCGATGCTCCTGAATCGATGTACCACGAACAATTATCCTGCACACATAGGATTTCAGAAATCACACACACATAATCCATAAATGAATTAAGTGAAATTTGTGTACAAGAGTTACCTTGCTTGTCTTGAGATTGGCTTGACTCACCTTTCCCACTTTGAGTCCTTTTCTTGCTCATCTTTTTCTTCCAAATGGTACAATCCTTTTTAAAATGATCGGGTTTTCCACAAACCCAACAAGTACGTGATTTTTTACCATCACTATCACCCTTAGGCTTCTTGCCTTTATTATTGTTCGAGTCATTTCCTCTTTTCTTGCCATTTGATTTAGAGTCGTCTACCATATTAATGATAGAACTAGGATTTCCATCCTTTTGTCCATCTTGAATTCGGATTCCCTCTTCAATCCGAATATGGGAACCCAAATCTTCAACATTTATTTCATCCTTCCTATGCTTTAAAGTGTTTCTAAAGTCTTTCCAAGAAGGTGGCA